CCAAGAGGCTGGTAGTCTGCCATACAATGAAAGATTGACTTCTGGTGAAATTTATCATCTCTTGTAATTTTCTTCCTTTTATTTTTTTTCCTCCTTCCTAACAGCAGTTTCAATCCAACCAGAATAGAACTGGAAGGGACCTTGGAGGTCTTCTAGTCCAACCCCCTGCTGAAGCAGGAGATTCTAAATCATTTCAGACAGTTTCTTTTTATAAACTTCCAGTGATGAAGCACCCACAGCATCTGAAGGCAAGCAAGCTGTTTTACTGTTTAATTGTCCTCACTGTTAGGAAGTGTCTCCTTAATCCCAAATTGCTTCTCTCCTTGATTAGTTTCCATCCATTGGTTCTTGTTTTGCCTTTTGATGCTTTGATAAATAGCTTTGTGGTAGCCTCTCAAATATGGAATACTGCTATCATGTCCCCCCTAGTCCTTCTTTTCTCTAGACTAGCCAGACCCATATCGTGAAACTGTTCTTCATATGTTTTAGTCTCCAGGCCTTTAATCATCTTTGTTGCTCTTCTTTGCACTTTTTCCAAAGTCTCAACATCTTTTTTGTAATGTGGTGACCAAAAATGCATGCAGTATTCCAGATGTGCCCTTGGTAAGGCCACACCTTACATACTTACAATCTATGTATACGTTTTATTACTTCCTTGCCTCTGAAGAAATGAACTATGATCTACAAATATTTAGGTGGTAACACTAAATTAGTTAATTTTTAAAATGTTAGAGACTTTTTGCCTGTTTTCATAGTCAAGGAAGATTCCACAATATCACAGATTACATCAAATGAAACCAATGACAATAGAATGATGACAGACCAAAGAAGTGTTGTCTGTTATTTCATTTTAAGTCAATGAAAATCAAATAAACTATATATAGCAAACAGGATCACTTACCATATATTTAGTCATTTTCTACAAGAAAAGTTGCAACTGGCAGAAATTTTGGACAAGTCTGGAGGCCACATGTAAGGGTTTTAGAGACAACACAAGATTCTATCGCCTCAGAAGTTCAACCTCCCATATTTTTTCCTAAGGTTCTCAACACCCTTTCTGTTGCCAAATTTACATTACAATTAAAATGAATGCCCAACTTAAATATTGTTTTTGCTGTTGGGGTCAAAAGTACTTCATCACATCACTGGGGGTGGGTGAGGGTTTCTATCATTTCACTGACATATTGCATCTCCTCCCCCCAGAAAGGAGGGTATATTTAATTTCTCAGTGTTGAAGAGCTCTGTCCTAAACAAGATGTGGAATCAGAATGGATTAAAGGACCAAGGAAAAGGAGGCCAAAACCCAAGATAAGCAATTGCAAAGCAAGATTCTAAAAATAATTACGATTGGAAATGTATGCTGATAGTAATGTTCTAGAAATAATTGAGGTTGAGTCCTCCACATACTAGAAGGCGGGGGTAGGAATCTCAGCAGATGTAAAGGGAAGAGCCTACAGGGAACATTGTTGTCAATGAGTCACGTTGGTGCCGACAGGCACCATGTTGGAGATCTGGGGTAGAGAAATTTTAAAATGAAAGCAGAAAGCCTTGGGATTCTCGCTGCTTGCACTCACTGGAACAAGCTTCTACATTAAGGAAATGTTAGAACACGGGGGAAAAAAGCCCTTCTCACTGCACATTTGTTCCAAAGAGCTGTTGTGTCAGTTTGATATTAGGCCCAAGTTCTTTTGGCATATTCAATGCACATGTTTCACCACAGGCACTCCCGATCCATGACCTCAGGAAACAAATTCTCACTCTAATAATTCAAACTGAATGTTTTTCTCTGATAAGCTGAAGCTTGTTTTTTACAAAAAAAAAAGAAAAAGAAAGAAGTGAGATCTAGACACCTTATCTCAAGAAAACAGGAAGAAAAGGTCATTCTCTACTAAATAGCAAGTCTCTCACCTTGAAAGTTTCCCCCCATGATTGGCATGGAAGACCCAAAGTTGCGAAACTTTTAAAACAGAGACCTGCATAATTACCAAATCATTATTAATTATATCACAGAGCTCCAAGGCAAGGCAAAAGAAACAAAAAGACTGATGGAGTCTCTTCTGTTGTTGGAAAGAATTAATAATTACAGTCATAAGCGTATTCAAGAGTGAGAGCAGAACCGAGCTGGTGTTCCAAGACTTGATTGTGACAGGCATATTAAGAGAAGTATAAGAATGCAAGATTACTAAGATGCCAAGAAATTAAAACACTCCAACCTGGTTATCTTTATATGGATATAGTATATGAAAATTTTATGGAAGTTAACAGCCGGTTGGAAAAACCGGACCATTGCTAACAGCTATGGCTATCGATAAAAGAGTTTTGCAGCCTTCTTAGAGGTTTCTGAAGAATGGTGACCCAAGAGAAGGGTGACGTCCTCTGGATTGCAACAACAGTTAGAATTATTAACATTTGGGAGGATATTATTTAATAAAACTTTAAATTATTTTTATTGTACAGAATAGAACAGGATTTACGATTCGTGGTTACATTTACCTCTGGGCCACAGAATTAAGTGCTATTTGCCCCTAGGAGGCATTGACCAGAAGGGTGATCTTATCTGTATATTGGAATATCATAGTCATTATTTTCTGTGGTAGTTAACAGTTTTCATTTTGGTGTTTTATAAGTCAACTTGCCCAAGTTAGGAGAACATTCTAAAAGTCCATTCGCTCTTTCCTACATGTTACAGAAACATATCTATGTGGTTTATTTACATATGACATTAAGCCCATTGAGTGTTTTTAAGGGGGAAAAAAGGACAATATTTTTTAAAATGTAAAGGCCACCTAGAAAACTAAGTTTTATAATTATGTGTGGCTAAAGGTCACATGCCATTTCAACTGTATGTGAGTTGGAGTGTAAATGGGCTTCTACTATAGTAAGAGGATTAAAAGTAGTGGATGTTAACAAAATAACCTAATCTTACCAAATACCACTGCAAGGGACAACAAAACCAAGTACCAAAACAACAGAACCAATGCAGGAAGGGTCCATGCTCATGCCAGTAACCCAAGGCCCTTTGAGATAGGTAGGTGTTAATGGCTTTCCGAAACCTTAGCAGAACTGTTCTACAGAAAAGGGGGCAATGAAAGAGAAGGCCCACTCCATTGGTCCTTGATAATAACACTCCCCAAAGGTGCCCTCCTATTTGGATCTTTTTCAGATGATGATACTGGGCATAGGCAATTCCATAGAAACCTAGGTCATGAAGGACTTTAAAGGTGACAACCTACCTTTTGAAGTCCCTTAGTAACTCTAGTCCAGCTTCTGAAACAACATTGTTTTGCTGATGAAATGAGGAGGTCTTTTATATGTAAGCCCACTATAATCTGGAACAGATATAGCTTCTAAAGGGTTTTCAAGGGAAGCCCCATGTATTGTGTATCGCAATAGTCCATCTAAGATGTGGCTATGGCATGACAGACTTGAAGAAAGAGCCTCTTGATACAAAATAGGACACAGTCAAAGCACAAGATGGAGCTGTGCAAAGGTTCTCACTGCCATAGTTGCCAGCTGCTCCTTGAACAGTAGCTATAAATCCATGGGACTACAAACCAGTTTAGCATGAATATCCAAGATGGAATATTACCAGTCTTGTATCACTTCTGAACCTACTCCCTTTTCGTCATGCTATGACTGAACCTAAATCTGCTGCAGACCCTAACAGTACCTTGACTTTGTTCAACCTGAAGTCAAGCTGAGGACTGACATACTAATGACACGTGACACCATACTCCCCCAATTGTGATGGAACGTAGTAAGGAGCTGGATTTCCAAAAGAAGGGGGTGCATTCCAGAAGAGGCAACTCAGTCCTGATATTATGTTTGAAAGAAAGAGAGTGAAGATGGTCCTTCCCTAATAGTTCAGAGTATGTTGTAGATGCAGACAGGGAACTGCTTGGTCTGGCAGGATTTTGTCTGTAGGTATGAAAACAATACAAAACTCAGCTTGAAGGAATCACCGTGTGTTGTTCTTGGTTTTGGGCCTGGCACCAATGGTTTCATGTGGATATTAAGAAGGCAAGAGAATCAAGACCTGTGGCACAGCAGAGGATCCTTCAGAACAATCTGATAGGAAGTTCTGGTCATTAACATTAGATGAAACAGGAATTTGAAGCTTCCTTTTTCTAATGTATACTGATCCATAAAGAAACTGAAGTATAATTTGGTCCACCACATGGACCAACAGGAAAAATTCTTGGTCTTAGATTAGAAGCAAGTTACCTTTTGGTAACTGAGGTATGCCCTTTTGAAAAATAATTACAGTTGTGATGCTGCAGAATTTGGAAAGATGAAATAACTTCTCATGAGTAAATATGTTTGGGAGAATTGGGGGTTATTCATTTTTATTTATATAAATCCCATTGAAAGATTGGTTCCTGATGTTCCCCTCCTTTAATTTCAATAGACAATGTTCAGCAACAGTGAGGAGGAAGAAACAGTTGTTCATTGTTTCAAAACCACACGTATTTTTAACTCTGCTTATTCAACCCTGGTTCTAAGTTCAAAAGCCCTGAATACTGTACTGGAATATTTCCTTGGGTTCCCAATCATGCTGGCTGTCCCTTTCTGAATATTTTCAGCCTCTCTGTAGCTCCAAGGTTACAATTGTGGTTTGCATGCAGCTGTAGACACAATATGACAATAAACCACCCAGTAGCTGCTGGTGCAACAGTAATATATCATACCCCCAATTTAATGGTTAAACCTGTCCCCAATACTAACAAAGCATATATCAAATCTAAATTACATCGCTCTTTCCAAAGTCAGCTATATTTGGAAAATTGCACTCTTACCAACAACACCCATGAGAATTCCTTCAAGATTCTCATACTTAGACAAATGAGAACTCACAGAGCTACTTTCGAAACACCGATCCATACTGGAGACAGAATAAAACTAGACTATGCAGTTTTCTTCATGTCCTGAGCCATTATTATTTAAAACACATGCGTATGTCAGTTTTGTCCTTCTCGGGTTCTAATATAAGCGACCCTTACCTGTTGAAGATGTCACCTGAGATTTTTTGCAGATATTGAAGTGTGTCCGCTATCTGATGAATAGCTTCCTCCCTGCGGAGGTCAGGCTGGATGAGGGGAACAGAGTAGGCCTGACCTTCCGGGAAATACTTCTGGGTCATAGTGGACATTTTCACCTGCAAAGAAACCAACAGTCCATTTGATTCCAGGAAAACACATTTCTTTCATTTTTAAATTAGAAGGGAACTCAGTTTGCTCTACTAGGTATTTGCAGCAAGAAAACTTTTAAAACGGATAATTCTAGAAGAGGGACAAAATGTGCTTCTCCAGATGATGGGTCCCCTGGTGCTCTATGAGCTGGGTTATTTTCTTGCAGATGTTTCATTACCCAAACTAGGTAACATCATCAGTGGTAGAGACTAGCACTGGAAATGTTATCTAGGTTGGGTAATGAAACATCTGCAAGAAAACAACCCAGCTCAAAGAAGACCAAGAACCCCTCATTTCAACGATTCAATATTCTCCTTTATTGGCTTCTCCAGATGTTGAACAACCCCATTAATCTCAAATAATTCAATGTGAACGCCGCACACTGGATAGTACCTTGTTGTCCACAAACAATTTCTCCTATTATCACCCGCAGCTACTGGGTGGTTTATTGTCATATGTAAACATCATATGTAAACATCAAAGACTAGAAGACCTATTTTTGTTGTGTTGCACAAATCTGATTTGTCCATGTAATTTTCTTTATTCTTCTTTGCATCAAATAAAATATAACATTGTTGGTACCACGTCAGAATCACACAATTCTTATTCTGTTAGTTGGAATTAGAGCTCCTTTCCTGAAGAACCAGGATTTGGGCGAAAGGTGCAACCACAGAAGATTTGAGGAGAGCCATTTCTAACCTCTAACACCCAATTTTGTTTGTCTAGAAATACATGCTTAAAAAACAAACGGAAACATCTGAGTTTTTGCCTTTGTTACCAAACCTTTTCTCCAGCCTTCTGCCTCCAGACAAGTTTCACAATTTCAAGCTACCATGGGACTTAGGCATTTACAAGGAATTATGTGAGCACCAGACTATTTTCTGCTAATTTATCTTTGCACTTTGGACCTTAATGGAGTCATAGGATTCAGAAGTCCCATCATCAAAGTATTATTGGGAAGTTGAAAAGGCTGAATAGTGGATCAATTCAAACTGACACAACAAAATTGCTCAAGAAGAGAGTATAGGTAGTCCTTGACTTACAACCATTCGTTTAGTGGCCGTTCAAAGTTACAACACCACTGAAAAAAAGTGACTTATAACCATTTTTCACACTTATGACCATTGCAGCATCTCCATGGTCATGTGATCAAAATTCAGACGCTTGGCAACTGACTCATATTTATGACGGTTGCAGTGTTCCGAGGTCAGGTGGTCACTTTTTGCGACCTTCTGACAGGCAAAGTCAATGGGGAAGCCTGATTCACTTAATAACCAGGTTACTAATTTATTAACAGCTGTGATTCACTTAAATTTTTTGGCAAGGAAGGTCGTAAAATGGAAAAAAAACTCACTTAAGAAACATCTCACTTGGGCAACAGAAATTTTGGGCTCAATTGTGGTCATAAGTTGGGGACTATCTATATTGTATCTCAACTCAATCAAAACGTTTTCAAGGAAAAAGAACCCAAGAAAGTCCAGTTGCCTTCTGGAAAACCCCTTTGAGACAACCATGTCCTGGATGATTGAGAGTCTCCATAGACAGATCCTTCATATATATTACTTATGTCCACTGAGAACAGCATTATGTACTGGGCTTTGGAACAGAAATCAGACTATCTTACAATATAGAATAAGCTTTGATTTAGCAGATCTCCATGGTAAAGATGTGCCAGTCTCCAAGGCAGGCAGGCAGGCAGGCAGGCAAGCAAATTGTATTTATTTTGTGTAAGTGAGGCAGCAGCAGATACTCAGGTATGTCAGATGAAGAAGAGAGAGATAAAACTTATTTTTATCCTCCTTTAATTAAACTATGTTCAGTGGTGTTATTAAGCAGTAATCAAAAATGCAGATGATATTGATTTGATTGGCACAAGGTGCGCTGCACTGAATAGTAAAAACCAGTGCCCCTATAAATAGGGCTAATCATCATCTTGATGGGAGAAAAGGAAGTGGGGGGGGGGAAGCAGCATAACTCGAGGTGTAATTAGACCCTCCAGCAACCTGCACTTCATGGCTGTTCTCATTACTTGGCACTTGTCTAAACGCTGCTCTTCAATGCTGATGAGTTGAGGCTGGAGAAAAATCTTAAGCACACCAGTCGACTAAATCCAAAGAGCCTTTTCACAGTCAAAAGGCATTGCTTAGGGGCCAGGTGGGGTTCAGTCTCCAGAGATCAGAAATGAGGAAATGCCCCAACAGAGCTTCTAACGCAATGGTTCGAGTGCAGTACTGCAGGCTACTTCTGCTGCCTGCCGGCTACCTGCAGTTTGGCAATTCGAATCTTACCAGGCTCAAGGTTGGCTCAGCCTTCCATCTTTCCGAGATGGGTAAAATGAGGACCCAGATTATTGGGGAAAATATGCTGACTCTGTAAACCACTTAAGAGAGCACTGTAAAGCACTTTGAAGCAATATATAAATCTAAGTGCTATTGCTACCTCCAGCTGGGTATTCTTTGGCCAGTCTTAAAGTGAGATAATTAAACTGGGCAGCCAGTGTTCTTGTACAAAACCATTTGTAGAGTGTTGTGGGTCAGTTTTGCAAGATACTATTTACCTTTAAAAGGATTTGTCCTGCTCCAACTTATTTCTGATGCATCAATGAACAAGCAGAACGATGAATTTTCTGAACCAATGCATACAATCTCCACTAACAAGTGAAATAGTAGTATCAAAACCTGTGAACCAATTAGCTCTCATCTAGCTTGATTTTTTTTCTCCAGATGCACATGTTCACATGATGGCAGCACACATAATTAAAGTAAATGAAGAACGCTGCATGCTGATCATGTGGGATAGGGCAGCCTAAGCACATAGATCTCAAAAACAAACCACTGACCTTCTATCTTCACGCTAAAGTCCCACCTTCTGTCTTGGGGCTTTGCCTCCAATACCCCTCAACTTCAATAACAGATTCAGGTAAGTATTTCCTGTTCCACACACTAAAAACAGTGAACTACGAACTTTGGGTCACATGCAACTCTTAAACCTCTATATTGTGTACCCTCTCAGATAATACTATCAAAAGTCAGAAATAAATGATTAAATCACAAAGGTAGCATGGTATGTAAGCTTTCTGATAAGATTTAGATGACCAAGATTAAAAAAACAAAATAGATTCTTCCCAAAATTTTGAGCACTGTATCCATTTGATAAAGTAATGTCAACCCCCAAGACATTAAGCAAATCCAGCATATTCTGTAGATATTTTTTGCTTTTTCTGTTGGAAAATGGCAAAAAATTGTCCCAAATTGAAGTCACATGACCATGACAGTCATAAATGACAGTCATAAATGCAAACCAGTCGCCAAGAGCCCAAAATGCTATCATGTGACCACAGATATATGCAGCAGGAACTTCAAGGATAGGTTGTAAGTTTTTCTTTTAAAGTCCAGTCATTAAGCAAGGACTATCTGTAAGACCGGGCAATGCATCTCATTTGATTTCCAAAAGGTACTTTGGGATACAATAAGACTATTTTTAACTCTTTAAACATGTCATTAATTGATTTCAGGTTTGCAGAGAACACTATTTAATCACAGAGAATTCAACTATCCAGGAATTTTAAAAAAAATTGAATAAACCCTTTCCTACTTTTACTAGGGATTGAGATGAAAAATTATTCAGTCCACACAGCACCGATAAGCACAAAAAGACATGTCCACACATGTATGACAAGATATTCAAATTGCCTTTGGATTTCTAGTGTGATAGTTTAGATTGGCATTTTGTATTTTAGGCAGAGAAGGGAGCTAGATAATGATGATTCCTTGTTAATTTGCAAAAAATAAACAAGGCTCTTCAATTCTGAACAGGTTTCTTTTAGTTGCAAACTAGAATCAATGTCCCAATGTTGAATTATGCATGCAGATCATGGCTGGACTGTCGGGGATAACTAGTGGCCCCTTGGAATACTTCATTGCGCTTCACTTCTGTTGCTGATCTCAATATTTTAAGAAATTAAAAAACATGAAATTAATGCTAACTCCTACTAGCTTAACTTCCCAGCACCTGCTTGTAGTCTTAGTCATATATTGCATTAAGCCAGGATATGGTTTGTTTGCTTGTGGGTTAGCATAATAAATGAAGCCAGCACATTTGGTAAGCCATGATTTATGTTTCGTGCAATGTAAGGAGCAGTATAAATTCTACAGAGGCAACCCAAAACTACTGCATTAAGCATTTGGCAGCAGAAAAAGTAATTGTGACTCTTAAAAATAACAGATGTTCCAGGAGTTACCGTAATGCACAAATATATCCACAAAAGCAGCAAAAAAAGTAATATTCAAAAGCACCCTGTGATCAAAAGAAGAAACTGGTGAGAAAGAAGTGTCCTATTTCTTTAGGCCCAGTAAGAAATCAATAAGCTGGAAATAATAGCAAACCGGGTTGCACTTGGCCATAAATTATTCCGTGAAGGGTCAGCATAGAGGTTATTAAGAGACAAGATTGCTTTTCTGCAATAAAAAGAGCTTGCTCCAAAGTCTCTGTCTCTAGCCACAGAACACAACTTTGCTCTACAGACTTAACAACTGCTTTTGGGAGCAGTTATTAAGACTTACTCAACATATTTAATCAACTGGAAGGGTGTGCTTTCTGGTTTAACAAATCCCAACAGAAAATAATCAACTCAAACTTACAAAAACTTTTCTTTTTTTTTCAAGGGACATCTCTTCAAATATGCCCTCTTTTATCATTTCTGTCAAGGATTCCTACCAAAAGGCAAAACCAAACTGTAAATCTCTATCCAGGTACACAAACCCAGGGGAAAGATTTGGGAATCCCTTACATCAGGGGTCTCCAATCTTGGCAACTTTAAGACTTGTGGACTTCAAATCCCAGAATTCCTCAGATAGCTTTGCTGGCTGAGAAATTCTGGGAGTTGAAGTCCACAGGTCTTAAAGTTGCCAAGGTTGGAGACACCCCTGCCTTATATGTACAGTAACCTTCCTCTTTTCCAAATGTA